TGATTCCAACGTGAACTTCCCGAAGACTCCTACCAAAACCCTCACGCACAATTCTCGAGACCCTGCCTGGTGCTCCAGGTTTGGGACATCAGGCCGTTGCCCGCCTCCCTGCACAGCCCGTCTTCACTCAGCTCCCTGCCGACATCTCTCGCTCGGTCACTGGACCGGTGATGCTCACGGCTGTCCCGCTTCCTGGGGCCTCCCCTTCCGGCCCTTGTCACACAACAGCACGCAGACCTGTCTCCCTGGCCCGGCGCCCTTGTCCGTCCCAGTGCTGGCTGCACCAGGCCCCCTCCGGCCGCCCAGTTCCCTCTGCTCCGCCTGCACGGCTCCTTCCTCTCCCCCAAGGGCTGGGCCTTCCTGCCCCAGGGCTGCTGCACCTGCTGCGGGGAGGTCCCCCTCAAACCTGCCAGTTTGGGTGTCCCGGTCATTCTGGCTTATTCACATGTCGTCTACGGTAAATCGTGTCCCCGTCACCCTGTTCTGTTTCCTTCATGGCACTTGTCACTACCTGCACTGTCGCCCTCCTCTCTGGACCCCCCGGGCCCTCATGACCACCAGGGCGGGCCCCATCTGGCCGGAGACCATGCGTGCCTGTGTGGGACCGGGTCCCGAGCAGGTCCCTGTGTCTCAGGTGGATGGGTGGGTGACGCGGCCTCGTGCCTGCCCCTCCTTGGTGGTGCCAGCAGCCGGCGAGCACTCATTCCCAGGGGACCTTCGCCCATGTTCCTCGGGGCTGAAGCAGCCCTCTGCTAGCCTGGCTGGTGCTGCCGGCAGCCCGGGAGCCTTGCCCAGAGAGCACGCGAAGGTTTTATCTTTTGCCGTCTTGCCACCAGACAAGGGACGTCCGCTGCAGGTGGCCGGGCGTCCGTACCGTGTTTTAACGCCCAAGTCCTCGTCCCTAACTTCAGAATCCCTACGTTACAGACGGGCCTCTGCTCGTCAACAGCAGCTTGGAGCAGAAGCGGGGGGCTGGCCGGCCGTCATGGGTAAGGCGCTGGAGCCACATGGCCGCCCTTCGGGTGGGGAGGGGTGTGATGCAGTCAAGCCCCCGCCGTTCCTCACGGACAGCCAGTGAGCCAGACACGGTGGCAGCCCTAGTTTATGCCTCGATACCTTTGCCATTTGGTATTAATTCATCTGCAGAACTGGGCAAATAACTGTTAATGACGCCAGACAGGGGAGCAAGCAGTCCCCACAGAGCCCTTGATTTCACTTCCTAAATAGCTCGTCTTCGCCTCTGCCCTCCGTGCCCAGTGCTGCACCCCGACCGCACACCCCCTCCTGCAGGAGTCAGCGTGTGCCCGACCCCCTGCCCGCCAACACCTCCCCCGCTCCGTGCATATTCTGACGGGGTCCCACTCGACTCGAGCCCCCGGACCTACGTGATAAAGCTCCGATGCCCTGGCCTGGTGGCAGAGGACGCGAGCGGCTAGCGTTCCGGCTGCCCACCGACGCTTCCCTGTCCCTCTCGGTCACCTGCGGTGTGTGTTAGCCCCAACCCGGGCGGCCAGGCTCCGGCTCCAGGAACTCGTGGGTCCCGGGCCCGCCCGAATCTTCCCTGGGGCCTCTGAGCCTGAGGGCCCCGACGCTGCAGGGACGCGGAGCTGGCCTCCCAGGCGGAAGGCTCTCTGCGGGACAGGAACGAATGAGACCGAGGGGCAGGAGGGGGGCCGCCGGGGGCCACAGATGGCTGTTTCTCGACTGGGGAACTGGCTACCGGGAGGGTACGCGTTGAAAATTCGGCAGGCCAGGAGAGGCAGGCACCCCTGCAGGCAGGTCAGGCTTCCGTGACGACAACCGAAACCCGTCTGAGCTGAGCCAGCCGATGAGGACCCTCCCGTGACTTGCACCGCCTCTCCAGTCCACGGGCCGTGGCGCAGTCACGACGAACAAGTAGGTGGCAATCCTAGTGATTATTAGCAGCGAGCGTTCACGGACCCGCAGGGGCCCTGCGCCAGCACCGTCCCTGGAATTCTCTGCGGTGGGGGCTCGGGCTGCCGTTTCCCAGATGGAGACCCACCCACGAGGTTTCCGCTCCAAATCTCACGCCGCGGTTAAGCCACGGGGCTGGGTTGGAATCCAGGCAGCCGACCTCAGAGCCACCCTGTACCGCTGCCCACACTGCCTGCCCGCGTCCCAACCGCATCCGGCTTTAGGAGGCCCACGGTCTCCATGCAGAGCGTCCTTCTGGGGTCCCGCCCGCTGGCCTCTGCCGCGCATCCCTGGCCGGAACGTGCGCCTTGCCGGGCCCCGCGTCCGCCTGGCACGCAGCCCGGCGCCCAGCAAGGGCTTTGGCACAGGCGGGTCTGGCTTCTCTCTAGATGCCGGGACCCAGCCCCAGGCCGGGCGTGGGGCAGGGAACGTGTGAATCCGTGACTGCCGTTGGCGTCTCAGACCCTTCCGCCCTGGCTACGACCACCAGAAGCTGACGGAGAAGCTCAAGTCCAGAGCCCGCACGTAATGCCAGTATTTAACCGGGATGAACAGGATCTCTCCGGGAGACAGGATGCAGGACAGGAACGGGGCCTCGGCAAACTTGGGGAACTTCTCCAAGTCGGGGTTCTCCACGTCAACCTGAAGAAAACACTTGCCAGGTCTCCAGAGACAGGGCAGGGAGGGGGGAGGCTGCAGCGTCACCCGGGGTCCCTGTGTACCCACCTGGCTTGTGTTGTGAAGAAGATGCGTGTCGTGTGGATATAAAGCCTCTGACTCCTGCGGCGAATACAGCCGGATGTACTTCCTCCCCGTCACCTGCGAGACAGTGCCTCGTCAGTCAGCTGCCGCCCCCACTGACCACAGGTCCCTGAACCCCCCAGCCTCCCGAACCTCTCCACGCCTTTCCGCGCGCCGTTCCCTGCGCCCAGAATGCCCCAACCCTCCCACGCACGCTCCAGGCCAGGCATACGTTGAGCCTCCAAACAGATCACGAATCAGTAACTCCGTGACTGTAGCCGACGATAACTGAGCACCGGCCTGTGGCAGCCACCCTCCAGCTGCTCCAGGTGTGTTCTCTTGTTGAATTCCTCACAACCCTCCACGGCGGTGCAGCATCACCCCATTTCACAGATAGGGAAACTGAGGCACAGAGAGGCAAGCCAAGTGGCCCAGGTTCGCCCAGCTGACAGGTGACGGGGCTGGCGTGGATGCCAAGCAGTCCGGCTTCTGGGCCCCGGATCCCAGCCTCTCTAGCATCTCCGGGCAGAGCCTCTGGGCCGGGAGAATGTTCTCATTTGTTAAACCTACCCGCCTAGAAAAACTCCGGTGGTTCCACAACAGATGCCTCTCCTTTGGCAAGAAACACACATGCTCCTCTGTCTGGGTCTCCGGACACACCATCCAGTGGCTGGGAAGCCTCTCATGTGGACAGAGGTGCTCGCAGGGAGACCACCCTGGTTCTGTCGGAGGGCAGGCAGGGGGAAGGCACTCGATCCCTCCCGAGATGACGCCCAGCCCTGCTCTGCCCAGGTGACACGGCCAGGACCCCAGAGGGTCCTTCCTGGTCAGGGAACCGCATGTGGAAACAGCCCCATCCGGAGAGAGGGTCCCACGGGGGGCCTGGTGCCATCTCTCCGGTTCATTTTTGCCACATCCCTCTCTGGGCGTTTAGACACCCATAACGTGGCCAGCCCGTGCAGGGCGGGGCCGGGAGGAGGCAGAAAGCCAATGCTCTGGAGCGACTCTAACCTGGACCAGGAAGTTCTGCTGAGGGTCCTGATGGAGAGGAGAGACGGTTCCTTGGGGACCAAACCAGGCGTTAATGGTGATCTCTTCTTCGTCCCCGTCGCCCAGGCAACAGTAGTCGGGGATGCTGATGTCCCGCTTCAGCTCCGGGATCTGTGGGTGTCAGAGCAGATGTGGGAGGCCGAGTCCGGCCGGAGACACACGGGCCCAGAAGTCGACGGGCCAAACGCACACTGCCTGGTTCGGCGCTAACACGCCTGTGTCCACGTTTCACGGGACGGGGACTTAAAAACCAACTAAAAAAATTAATAGCTTAATTAGGGAAGAGTTATCATTTTATTTTCAGATTTGTTCCTGTCATAGGCATCTTCGTTTTCTGTTTGAAAAGCCTGATAGCACTGCTCTGCACTTAACCCAGCTTGGGGGGCCTGGGTGGCTCAGTCAGTTAAGCGTCCGACCCTTGATTCTGGCTCAGGTCACCATCTCACGGGTTCATGGGTTCAAGCCCCACATCAGGATCTGTGCTGATAGCGTGCAGCCTGCTTGGGATTCTCTCTCTCTCTCTCTCTCTCTCTCTCTCAAAATAAACAAACATAAAAAAAAAATAGGGGTGTCTCGTGGCTCAGTCGGTTAAGCATCCGACTTTGGCTCAGGTCATGATCTCCTGGTTCACGAGTTGAACCTTCCTTCGGGGCTCTGCGCTTAACAGTGCGGAGGCTGGGGCCTGCTTCAGATTCTGTCTCCCTCTCTCTCTGCCCCTCACACGTGCATGCACGCTCTCTCAAAAAATAATAAAAACATTAAAATAATAAGTACATAAACAAGCCAACCAACTTGTAATTTTCTAAAGAATGCACTTTTTGAAAATCAAGCTAAAAAAAACAAAAAAGAAAATGGGGTTGAGGATTTATCACATCTCCGCAGAGGAAGATTTTCCAAAATTGACTAATGATAAAGCAATCACAAGACATACATTTTAAATACGTTAATTGACATGAAGACCACTGACGTGGGAAACTTTTGAAGTGTGGTGAATGAGGGTTAGTGGAGAGAGCTCATACAAAATAAAAAGGAAAAATAACAAGGACCCCAATATGTGACCACACAAATAATCAAAGGGCAAAACCCAGACATCACACAGAAATGAATTAGACATAAGGAAGAGTTCACTCCCATTAGGGAAGAAATCTGAATGAAACGTCACTGATGCCACGGTGTCCCACTAATCAAACGAGCACACTGGGCCAGGGGTGCGGCCCAGTGGTGGCGAGGGTGTGGGGAAAGGGGGCCCTGTGCAGGGCTGCTGGTGAGGCCAAGATAAAATCATTGTGACAGTGACTGGGGACGGGCCGGTCTTCAGGGTGTTTAGGCTCCGACCCAGCCGGCAGTGAGCTTGAGCAGTGCTCCTTTGTGCGGACGGGCCGGGGGCCTCACGGAGGCTGAGGTTGGGAAGATCACCTCGAAGATCACCAACCGTGGGGGCAAACGGCTCGGAGGCTTTGGGAAATTCGACAGAAACTCAAGTCTGGTCCCTAAAGGGGGACTTTCTTCGGGTATTTCCCGAGTAACTCCTCCCGGGTCAAAGGGGCAGCTGCGGGCCGGCTTTTGGCCATTCTTTCAGTAGCAGCCCCTCCAAGTTCAGGCTGCTAAGAAGCCATCCATCCTTCGGAATGGCTGGAATGCTCTCCCCGCAGCAGCCTAGGAAGACATACAGACGGGCTGCCGTGTCCACTGTTCTGAGGCCCCCTGTCCTGTCGGCCAGAGGGGTGGGGGGGATGGGAGATCCCCAAGGCCTCTGGGGACCTCCTGCCCCTCTGCCACCGGGCCCTCACACCACACAGCCGCTTCCCGCTGGGATCGTGCCAGGCCCTGGGCCTGCGGAATGCTGACAAGCTGACTGGTCCCTGACGACATTATCAGGATTTCTGAAATATGACTGGTTGACTGAATGGTGTAATCAGAGCCACTGGACTCAGAGACCCCCCAAGAGAAAGGAAGGCTCCCAGGATGTGACCTGATAATTAAAGGGAGGCCTGGCATGGTGGCCAAAATCTACAACATGGGGCCCCTGGGAGAAAAGGAAGAGGTTTTTGGGCAAGAGGTTTTGGGTGGGAGCCACTGAGCTCCGTGAAGGCAGAGAAGGCCCCAGAAAGCAGTACAGGGACCCGCCAGGCAGCACTCTGGATGGCAGGGGTAAAACACATCTCTGGGTACCCGAGATAAAGAGCCGGGTGGCCCTCCAAAAGGCAAAATATCCTCAAGGTTTGTCTTAAAAGCAATCGGGCACTCTGCCTTCTACTTTTTTTTTTTTAACTTTTTTTTTTTATTTGGAAGTATGTGTGTGTGGGGGAGGGGAGGGACAGAGAGAGAGAGAGAGAGAGAGAGAGAGAGAGAGAGAGAGAATCTCAAGCAGATTCCATGCTCAGTGTGGAGCACAACTCGGGGCTTGATCCCATGACCCTGGGATCACAACGTGAGTTAAAGTCAAGAGTCGGAGGCTTAGGGTGCCTGGGTGGCTCAGGTCATGATCTCACGGTTTGTCAATTCAAGCCCCACGTCGGGCTCGGTGCCAACAGCTCGGAGCCTGGAGCCCGCTTCGGATTCCGTGTCTCCCTCTCTCTCTGCCCTTCCCCCACCCTCACTCTGTCTCTCAAAAATCAATGTTAAAAAAGAATTAAACAACAAAAGAGTCAGAGGCTCAACGGACTGAACCACTGGCACCCCCACCTTCTGCTTCTAAAACTGCTTCCTCTTGTTCCAGTAAAATGGAAAATGGCCAAACAAGGAGCCAAGTTTACCTGTGGCTTCTCAGGTCCCCCTGGAAGGTGTGACTGAGGTCAGGTCTCTGGGGACCGTACGGTTGGACTCCCCTTTCCTTCATTAAGCAAGAGAGGACAGGAGGCAGGGTCTACAAGTCCTAATTCGGGAGAGCTGGACAAGAGACCCCAGCCCACCTAGCCCCCACCTGCTCCAGCCTCTTTAATTTCCGGCACACAGGCTCCTGGCGGCTGGCACAGCCCCCACAGGGCCCGGGTCCCCCGGCGGCACGGGCAGTGAGAGCAGCCCCAGCCCAGCGGCACAGTGGTGCCCGAGCCCCACCAAAGCTCACCAGTCGCCGGGGTCTCAATTCGAGTTTTCCTCGACCGCGCCTTTTCCCTCAACCCTGCCCAGCCACCTGCGTCCAGCCCCCGGCAGTTGGCACCTGTCTGACACCTGTCCAAACTGTTCAATCATCTCCCCAGGATGAGCCTTCAGATGGTTCCAGCCTCACCAGACGGTTTTGAAAGTATGGAACACAATCAGATTCCACTTCTCTTTGTTCCCTTATTGTGCCTCCGTTTAAAAATAAAGTCTATTTTTTCTCACGATGATGACTATACAATCCTCATTATAGACACTTCGCAAACTGCGGAGAAAAAAAGGAAAAACTACTCACGGTCTTACGACCCACGAATCGCTGTGAATCTTCTGGGCCCTTTCTTCCTGTTCCCACCAGAGCTAAGGTCCCTCCGTGTCAGGGCACATCCTTTCTCGCTTCCCCCCAGCCGGCGGGCCCCCAAGTTCCCACGGTGGCTTCGTGAGCGAGCCCTGCACCCAGGGCGCTGGGTGACAGGCATGTGGGGGGCACACCGCCAGGTGGGGGCTGAGAGCGTTTCTGCCAGCTCCTGGGAGGCTGGTGGGGCCAGCCCGTGATGCCCCCTTCTTAGGGCCGACTGGTGAAGGAGAGAAAGAGCTGGACCCAGCTCTCTACCCCCGGGCACTCTCCCTCACGACTGCCCTGGCTCTCCTGACAGATCTCCCCGGAATACCTCCTCTCACTGGAGGTATTTCCTGCTCAGAAACCTCCCAGGGGCCCCCGCTGCCTTGCAGATGGGTCCGATTTCTTGGTCTGGACTTCAAGGCTCTCCCCGCTGGGCCCCAGCCTCCCTCACTACCTTCTTGCTCTGCTCTTCTGAATGAACCCTCCGAGGCAGGCGGCCATGGCCGGCACTTGGGGCCCGCTCCAGGGTGCAGCCCGAGTCTCGGTGCAGGAGCGCCTCTCACTGGAATGTCCTGCCTCCAGCCTGGCCGGGCCCTGCTCTTCCTCTCCGCCGGCCAGAGACCCCCTCCATTCTCAGTCTTCAACCAGTCTGTCCTGAGGGTCTTCGATCAGGCCAACCAGCACTGGGGACCCACAGGAGACGAACCCGGGCCCGGCTGGGCACACACGGGCCCAGCTCGGGGCGACGGCCTCGTGAACAGACAGCTGACACTGGGTAAGGACGGTGCTGGGACCGCCCGGAGAACCCTCACCAAGGAAGGCAGCGACCCGCTCTTTGTGGGCCGGGTCAGAGCCTGCCACCCGCACTTGGCTCCCCAAGACCCATTCCTCAGGTGTGACCACACCGGCTCAGACTTCTGGCTCCACCTGCTGGGGCCACCTCCTCCCCCTACCGGGGTCTTGGGGCCCTGGGGTCGGCAGGCCCAGGCTCTCACTGGCCACCTGCAGCTTTGTCTGCTCTCCGCCCGCTGCTGGAGGACACAGGTGCCACACAGGTTCTCCTTGCTCACCAGTGGGGTGGGTGATGAGGCTGTCAGGCCCTTTCCTGCCTTCTGGGCTCAGAGCTCAGGAAGGGAGGGGAGACAGAGGGAGAGTGGAAAAGACAAGAGGAGAGGGTGTCAGACTTACCTGGTCAAAGAGCTGGTGCTGAGCCAGGTACCCGACGTCCCTCGGCTGAGCCGCAAGAGAAAAACCAGAAGTGACACAGAAAGCCTGGTTAGTCGTAAGGGACACCCTCCAGGTGCTGCCGTTAGTGGCCTCTCGGCACCAGGGTGCACCCGGCCCCAGGCAGCCACCTGGCAAGGACCCTCGGCTCTGTCCTGCTTGGTCCCCCCCGTGACCTGGGGGCGAATGGGACGCTCTCCCTCTGGGGCCAGGGGGAGACTCTGATCCGGGGCTGCCTCTGTAGGGGCTGCTCCAGGACTCAGCTTCCTCCCTGAAAATGAAGAGGCTGCACATACAGGAGACTTTTTTTATAAATAAAAATGAAACTACACCATATGTATTACTTTGGAAAATTTTTCATTTAATGACAACATCACGAATATCTCTTCGGGTGAGCACAGACATACGTGCCTCATTCTTTTGACGGGTCCATGTTTCATAGACGGGACAGATCACTATGAAGTCAACCATCCCCTGCTGGTGGACATTCAGGGTGTCTTCCTGGCATTTCCACAAACAGTCTAACATCCTGGGCCTTCCTTACGTTTGTGTTCTCCCAAAAGCAGAACAACCGAGTCAAGGGGCATGAGCATTCTAAGTTCCAGTTGCTTCTGCCAGGTTATTTTCCCAAAAGTGAATCCCAGGTTGTCTTCCTAGCAAAACTGTCAGTGCCCGCTTCCTACACGCTGGCCTGCCCTGGGGATGATCATCTTGTGAGAATTTCCGCCAGCAGACGGATGAAAAGATCTGTGCTTTCCACATGGGGCTCCACAAGGCTCAGGGGCTTCCTGGGAGGAAGGGCTTCCTGTCTAGGGCTCTGGAAGGGCCAGTGGGGGCAGAGCTCACGCAAGGCTGCCCCCCACCCACCACCACAGCCAGCGCGGAAGTCAGCCTGGGTCTAACGGGCTCTGGGGCTCAAACTGTGTTGAAGGACACGAAGGCTCCTCTCTAGAATCCCTGGAGAACCTCTGTGCTTCCGACCCTCTCCCTCATTCCCTTGTCTTCCTTACAACTATGGAAACTACAACATGCCAGACCAGGGCTACGAGGTGGGCACGGCCAGATGTGATGTGGTCTCTCCTGCCATGGATACCGTGGCCCAGAGACACTAACTTCGGTTAACCGGGCACTGACTGTGCCACGCTTACAGCTTGCCGCGTTTAACTCTCACAAATGACTCTGTGAAGTAGGCATCGGCAACCTCCAACGGATCCCAAATCCAGGGCACTGAGGATCGAGAGGTTCGGCAACCAGCCTGGGCCACAGAGCCGGCAAGACGGTGCTGGAATTAACGCTCTCCCGCCTCAACCCTTAGCGCACCTGCCTGCCCCCTGACAAACCTCACCTCCGGTTCTGCGCTCCGCTCTGGGCTCGGGGCTTCTTCCAGGAAAAGGGGACCGGAAAGGGGGTTCACTCCTGCGAGCACAGGGGCAGAGCAGCATCGTGTGCTCTCGTGCCCGGTTCCCTTCTCCAGGCCTCTGGGCGACAAGGGACTCAGCGGGGGTGGGTGTGGAAGGCGGGGGACGTGGGCACGGAAGAGGTCTGTGAACGCAGCGGGACGAGGCCGCGCCCCGGAGAACCGCACCAGGCGCCGGCAGAGGAGGCCGGACACTTGGGAAGAGAAGCGTTGGGGGCAGGAAGGGTGATGGTGCAGGGTGGGGGGAGATCTGGGGGGCCCTCGGGAGCTCACAGTTACGATGTAGAACAGCGTACAACGGGAGGGACCGTCAGCCAGCACGGTCACCACCTGGGCCCTGTGGCTGCAGCGGACCCATGACGAAACCAGATCAGAACTCACAGGGCCCGGGCCCGGGGCTGCCTTGGGTGTGGGAAGGGGAAGCCACCACTGCCCTTATCTGAGACGGTAAAACGGCACCACTGCTTCTGAGAACAGCCTGACAGTTCCTCAAGAACGGTTAAACACGGAGTCACCACAGAACCCAGCGGTCCCGCCTCTGGCACACACCCGGGAGAGACGAACACTTGTACGTGAGCGCTCACGGCGGCGTTTTCCACGCCAGCCAAAGTGTGTGCAACCCGAACGGCTGTCAGCCGATGCCGGAACGCAACGTGGGGTCTCCGTGCAATGGAAGGGTACGGGGCACAGCCAGGGACGAGGGACTGACGGCGGGCCACGGCGTGGACGAACCCAGACGGCACTCTGCCGAGCGGAAGTGGCCACAGATGCCCACGTTCGATACGATTCCATTTCTATGAAATGTCCAGAATTGGGAGACCCACAGAAACAGGAAGCAGGCTAGTGGCCGTCTGAGGACGGGGTGGGAGGGCCGAAGGGAAATGACTGTTCATGGCTACCGGGTTTCTTTGGGAGTGACGAGAATGTTTTGGAATGAGACACTGGTGATGGCCAGAAAACCTTACAAATACACTAAAAAACCACCAAATCGTTCCGCCCAAAATTAAATAAAATAGAAGACTTGAAATGAGTCGCATTGTGCCCGCCCGGCAGCCTGCCCCCCACCCCCGGCTCTGGCCCACCCACCTTCTGACCACAGGCTCTGAGAGACGGATGCCTCCAAAAGGTTGCCCTGAAGTGCCCGAATGTCCTGCGTCCTCCCTGCGGTGAGCCCCACGGGAAAGGAGGCGTGGGGACATACCTCATCCCTGATGTACTTGCTGATGAACTCGTTGACCGTCATGAGCGTCTGGGACCACTCCTCGTCAGTGTACCTGGAACCAACCTCCACCGGGACAGTCCGGCAGCCGGCGACGTCCTGGATGTACTCCAAGCTGGGAGACAGACGCGTACGGTCACCATCACCTGTGCGCTGAGCCTCGCCGGGCCCTCCGCTAAGTGTGCTTCACACGGGTCTCCTTTTGTCTTCACGGGACCTCTGGGGGACAGGCCGTCACCCCCAACGCACTGGCGAGGGCGCTCGGGTGCAGACACGTGGGGTTACGTGCCCACTGGCACCACAGAGCTTTGCAGAGAGCCAGTGGGGCTGGCCTGCCAAGGCTCTTGCTGGGCGGTTCTATCTCCCTGCTGGCCAGGAACTCCCAGTTCTCTCTCTGCTCACCTCGTGTCTAAGCTGGGAAACCTCCTTGGAGCCAATGGCAGAGAGTGCAGCGGGGGCGCAGACAGGCCTGCGTCCTGAATGCCAAGGACCTCGAGCACGTTACTTAACCTCTCTAAGCCCCGGCCCCCATTTGTAAACGGGGGCGACGACAGTACCTGTCCCACGGGAACCAGGGCGGACAGAGAGGGAGCAAACCTGGCACTGCTCAATCCGGTAAAACCCCCCTGCAGCAGAGCTCTTCCCACAGCCTCGGCGGGAACCGCCCCCTCCACGGACCCCCAGACACAGGTGACCCGGCCACCCGTCCTCACAGACCCCTGCTCCTTCCCATAGGCATTACGGCCACTGTCCAGCAGCCTGAGCCGCTCTTACAACCATGAATCCGGGGTGGGAGACCAGATGCAGATGTGAGGAGGGAACGAGCCCAAGAGCCCCGCCTAGAGAGAAGGGGGCGTGTCTTAAGCTCTTGCTTCTGCTCTGAAGCCGCAAGGCCCCCGAGAAGGCCCACGGGATTGCTCAGATCCTGCAAAATGCCACGAGCGGACTTAACGCGGCACCGCCACGTGAGCACTCGCTAAAACACCCGCTTTGCGCAAGTGAGCGGAGGACGCCGCGGATCTTACGACCTCTGGCGTGAACTTGGCGCGGCGCCATCTTGTTTAACCTCAGCAGCCCACGCGGGACCGGTCGGGAAGCGCGTGCGAGGCTGCATTTCCCGGGGGAGGAAGAGAGGTGGAAGCCGGGTCCTGAAATGGGCTGAGGAGGCTCCCGGGCCTCACAGCCACCCACCTCCACTTCTTCATGCACGGCCACTGGTCGGCCACGCCTTCCAGGATCACAGGCCTCCCCGGAACCAGAAAATGCTTCCGGAAGTGCTGGAGGGATGGGCAGCGGAGCCGGGGCACCGTTCTCTCAGACCTCACGTCTGGAATCCAAACACGGTCGTGCCGCGCTTTCTGTTTAAAAGCAAAACAAAATAGCAGCACGTGCAGCAAAGTTAACATTCGGGGCTATCCGCCGGGAACGTGCGTCCGTCCCCGGCAGGCTAGCTCGGCTGTCACGAATGGGAACAGCTAACATCTACTGTCATTGCCACTGCTGCTGCTCCTGGTACTCCTGGCCCCTTCCTACTAGATCACTTAAAGCGTCTGTTCAGGGCGCCTGGGTGGCTCGGTTGGTTAAGCGTCCGACTCTTGGTTTTGGCTCCGGTCATGATCTCACGGTTTTGTGAGTTTGAGCCCCGTGTTAGGCTCCACTCGGGATTTTTCCTCCCTCTCTCTCTGCCCCTCTCCTGCTTGCACGCTCTCTCTCTCTCTCTCACAAAAATAAATAAATATTAAAAAAGAAAGAGTAGATAAAGCATCTATTTGATTGTAAAAGGAACGTGAGGCTTTCACAGAAACTCCGCAGAGGAGACGTTACGACCCCAAATGCCGTCTGATGTTAAAGTACTCTGTCATTACTATGCGTTCCTCTCCCATCCTGTCACTCGTGAGGAGAGGGCCGTTGACCCACCGGCAGGAATATGCAAGACGAATGAGCCACGTTTCCACGTTGCTACTCAGTCCCCGCGATGTCTTCTGAGGGGCTGTGCCGGAATTTCCCAACCACCTCCCAACTGAGTGACCTGAGCAAGTTACTGTCTTGGGGCCTCAGGTTCCTCCTCTGTTACAGGACCGGGAGACTAGGTGTCACACGTGAAGTGCCCAGGATCGCCTGCGCCCCCCCCCGCTCCCCCCGCCCCCCCCACTGCACGTGTGTGCGCCAGCTCTGACCCCCCCCCGGCAGTGACGACTACCAGTCTCACCCGCAGGCCGTGCACGCGGCCTCGTGCTCACCATCCCTGTTATATTCCTCTCACGCCCTCGTCAGAGGCACCTCCCTGAGCACCGTGAGCGGAGCTGCCT